TGTGCTTGAACACCAGTAAGACCAAGGAGATGGTCATCGATTTCAGGAGAAAACCATTTTCCCACACGCCGCTGAACTGGATGTTCAGTGGCGTGTGGGAAAATGGGGGAGGACATTGAGCTGGTGGACAACTTCAACGTACAGGGTGTTCCCATTAACAATAAACTGGACTGGTCCCATAACACTAACGCTCTGTACAAGAAGGGCCATAGTCGCCTCTTCCTTCTGAGGAGGCTGATGTCCTTCGGCGTGAGCAGGCCTCTGCTCAGGACTTTTTAGGACTCTGTGGTAGCCTCTGCTAGGGCTGGGCGATAAAACGATAACGATATATATCGCGATAGACATGTGTTCGATATCAATAGAGAATGGGGTCGATAGAATGTTCGATAGTTTAACTTAACTCCGTCAGGAAAAACAGGAAGAAAACACCGGAAGTAAAGCCGACTCATAAGCGCATGGCATTGTGGGGGATGTAGGCGGAGGCTTCTTGACCAATAACAGCCGAGCAGGAACCGCAAAACTTTGTGGGAAATGCAAAAACAACAACAACCGCAGCATGCGTAGCGTCCATGGATCTATAGCTCGTGTTTCAATGCCGTGTCAATGGTTATGCACGTACGTGCGCGGAATAACATGTGCGGCGGCAGAGGCAGTGGACAGACCCGATGTATTCGGCGAAAGCAAGAGATTAACTTTTTCCTCGGGAAGCATGTGCGGCACAGAGAGCCGCACGGAGCGGCCACGGGGACACAAGACCCTCAACCAGCTAAACCAGGAGCTAAACCAGGAATAAAAACCAGGATTAAACCAGGACTAACAACGAGGGACACAGTGTGAACATATTTCTCCAGCCTCATCGCCCCGTGACTGTAAACAAGGCTGCTAAGGTTGGTTAGCCCACACGACAAATATATTTATTTAGGTTAAAAAAAAAAACTCAATATATATCGTTATCGACCGATATGAATGACTTATATCGTGATATAGTTTTCAGCCATATCGCCCAGCCCTAGCCTCTGCCATATACTATGCTGTCGTGTGCTGGGCCCCGGGCAGCACAGGGCGGGGCAGAAGCAGACTAAACAAGCTGGTCAGGAGGGCCAGCTCCACTCTGGGCTGCTCCCTGGACTCTGTGGAGGAGGTGAGGGACAGGAGGGTGCATGTCAAAGCCACCTCCATCATGAACAACACCTCCCACCCACTGCACAGGACTGTAGAGGAGCTGAGGAGCTCCTTCAGTGGAAGACTGAGGCACCCTCAGTGTAAGAAGGAGCGCTACCGCAGGGCCTTTATCCCCACCGCTGTTAGACTGTACATCAAGTCACTTTAAGTCACTGTATCAAGACTGAAAAAACCTGCACTACTATTGACACTGTTTCTTATTGCCACTTTGTACATAATATATCCTGCATTTAACATGTTTGTACATTTCCTGTAAATGTAAATGTCTCCGTTGTGAGATAAATAAAGCATATCTTATCTTTACTGCTGTCACCATATTGCACTGCTTACCGCATATTGTGTGCACCATGTGAACTTGCATATTGTATGTAGTAACTGTAATTGTAATCGTTATAATTCTATTCTAAATTTTATATCTTAGAAGTGTATGCTGACGTTTATTATGCCCTACTCTATTCTTTACCTCTCTTTTCTGACTGATGCACCAAGCCAAGCAATATCCTAGTCTGTGACTTCCTGTTACTTACATGGCAATACAAATTATTTTGATTCTTATTGGGTTTTCCTTATTGCATTCAAGATTCATTGTTTATGGCAATATAGATGGTGTAGTTGTTTTCTCAATAAAATTGGCTTTATAATGATGTGTAACACACCATATGGGAGCTGTGCTGGAGAGAAGGATGAGGGCTCTAATGCAGGGCATCTAATGTAAGGCATCCTGGGAAACTCCTGACACCCTCTGTATGACACTATGGCCGCTCAGAGGAGTAATCACAGCAACAGGCTCCTATCACTACACTGCCCAATGGAACTTTCCAAGAGATCCTTTGTTCCTTCAACAGTACAACAAACTTGGATGAGTCTTCTGCTGAATTTCTCCTACGGGGGATCAATAGGAGGATCTTGGAGTGACGTCGTTTTTTATAGTTTTTCCGCGGCGGTCACGTGACCGTGTGGCACTACCATGGATCTATAATAATAACTGGATAGGGTATTACTAGCTTACAGCTGTCCCACCCATAGACACAGTGGTATTGCATACTAAATTCACGCGGGCTACCCAGAAAAAGTCCCAGAACTAGAACTCAACGTAAATTAAAACAGCTCGACCTCAGCTGACAGAGAACCTACAGCTTTCATAAAGATCGGATTTTGTGTGGATTTTAGTGTCCCTTGTCATCCTGAACTTTTTTTTATTGTTAACTGTTTTCTTTGAATCCACACTTAACTGCCACATACTCTGCTCCTTTCCTTCCCGCTCTGACTCTGCTCTTCCGCTGCTCTGATGAGCAGCTCTGATTGGTCAGAGCGCGGCCGAGCCCCTCAGTGCGCGTGCATGAAAGCCACACACGCACGTTTAGCGCAACGCATCATGGGAGCTCGTCCACTGCGCACAACCGGAAGGACCAGACGATGCCTAAATATAGGCGAGTTCTGCTAATCTCCCGGTCTCCGTGAAGTCCCATGCGCTACTGAGCACAAGCCATTCATTTGAATAGAGGCGCCATCTTGCGTGCACAAGCTCGTGTAAATACTGCGGTCAACGATTCTGCTTCTCTTCCTCTACAGCACGCAACATTTTAAGCAAGGTTTGGTTAAAACGCTCCGCACTTCCATTACCGGCGGGGTGATACGGTGTCGTCCGACTTTTTGTAATACCATAGGCGTCACAAAGCTCTTTCATCAAAGAGGACTCAAAATTGGCTCCCTGGTCCGAGTGGAACCGGGCCGGGCAGCCAAAATTCTGATTAATGTTCGACCAGCCAAAATTCTGAATAATGTTCGACCAGATTGCTTTAACAGTAGTTTGCGCTGTTCGGTCGCGGATATGTATTGCCCAAGCGAAACGGGTGAACTGATCTGTGGCAACTAAGATGTTTTGGTAAGCATCGAGGGGACGGCCTAGCGACAAATAGTCTAAGGCAATTACTTCAAGAGGGTAGGAGGTTTGAATGGGGCCAAGAGGGGCTTTGGGCTCAACCCTACTTTTTTGCAGACTACAGGCAACACAACCTAGGTGGAAACGACGGACCTCCCCCTCCATAGTGGGCCAATAAAAGTTCTGTTGGAGGCTGTTGAGGGTTTTGTCGACACCAGCATGGGCACCAGCTTCATGCACCTCCAGACTTCTTCGCGCCTGGAGCTCGGACAAACAGTCTGGTAGTGCACTTCATGGGTTTTAGGATCAAAAACTTTACGGCACAACACGTTATTGTTCACCTGTAGCCTTTTTCATTGCTGCAACAGCCTCTGGGAGTCGCTGGATAGGGCCTGGCGCTCAGGCTTTCCCGGCATTTCCTTCCTCTCCACGTAGCTCTTTACACCCTGAAGGTCTGGATTTGCTGCCTGGGCCTCTCCCCATTCACCTCCATCTGGCACCAGCTCCACCGCTTCTGCAAACATTCCATGCTCCAGGTCTGGCTCGCTAGAGTGGACTGCAGGGATTGGAAATCTGGAGAGTACGTCAGCATTTACATTGCTTTTACCTGATCGATGCTTTATGCTGAAGTTGAAGGAGGCTAGTTGAGCGACCCAGTGTTGTTCACAGGCTCCAAGCCGTGCGGTCTGTAGGTGAGCTAGAGGGTTATTGTCAGTAAACACAGTGAATTACGCTCCTGTCAAATAGTCAATTTTTCTGTTATAGCCCACTTAAGTGCCAAGAGTTCCAGTTTGATGGAGCTATAATTAGCATTGTTTCGTTCAGTGGGGTGTAAACTCCTGCTTGCATAAGCAATTATAGCTGGCGTCAGTGTACACCACAAATGGTTGGTCAAAATTGGCATAAGCTAAAATTGGGGCCTTTGCCAATTCAGTCTTTAGTGTGTCAAATTAACTTTGGCATTCTGGGGTCCATTGCACTTTTTGCGTTTGAGACCTTTTGTCTGCAGGAACTCCAGTTAACAGGGAGTTCAGGGGGCGGGCAATTTTAGCAAACCCTGACACAAACCTCCTTAATAGTCTGCTAGTCCCAAAAATGCTGGTCTCACACCGCGACTGTCAACTACATGCCCCAGGAACTTGACCTCAGACTGTAGCAGCTTGCATTTGTCGGGGCGAAGCTGAAGTCCATGCCGCCACAACCTGTTGAAAACTTCATCTAGGTGCTTGAGGTGGGAGGACAAGTCAGGTGAATAGATTATTATGTCGTCCAAATAGACAAGCTGGGACTCCGCAATTTGACCATTCAGACAGTTGCATAAGTCACGTAGCAGGGCCAAACGGCATGCGCTCGAACTCAAACAGCCCTAATGGTGTCGTGAAAGCAGTTTTTTCCTGGTCCGGTGGGTACATTTCAACCTGCCAGTAGCCGCTGGCTAGGTCAAGTGTGGTAAACCATTCTGCTTGGCTCAAACTGGTCAGGGTCTCCTCTATCCGTGGCAGAGGGAATGCATCCTTGTGTGTTACTGAATTTAGTTTTCTGTAGTCGACACAGAACCGTAAACTCCCATCTTTCTTTCGCACCAAGACTATGGGTGCTGCCCAAGGGCTACGGCTCTCCTTAATAACACCCTGCTCCAACATACCCACCAGCAGGGACTTCACCTCTTTGTACAGAGAGGGTGGTAGCGGCCTAAACCTCTCTCTGATGGGCGCAGCATCACTGGTGTGGATTCGATGTTGTACAGCGTTCGTCCTTCCAAAGTCCTCATCATGCGCTGTGAAGACCTTCTCCCATTTTTGCAGAAGGGCACGGAGCTCCTCATGTTGCTGTTCAGACAAGTCAGATCGATTAGACAGTTTTCTCACCTCCTCTGTGGGGCCGTGTTGTACAGGGTCAGATGTAGTGTGGACCAGGGAAACTTCGACCATCATCTTCATCCCAAGGACAGGTTCACGTCTTCAGGGCCGTGCACATCAGAATAATCGATACGGTAAATGCGTCCAAGCTTCTGGTAGCGGCCTATGATGTAGCTGTAAGGATGTGGGTTACAGACACGCAATGGGATCATCCTATTTCTTACCACTCCAATGGTTCTGGCCACACCAACTTCTCCAGTGTCTGACAGCGCTTCGACCAAGGCGAGGTAGTCGGTACCGTCAGGGCCCATCCGGGTCTTTCCCCAAACAAGCCGCTCGCTGTTAGGAGAGACAGTGAGGGCCCGCCTACCAGACAGCACGTGCCCGAGGAAGCCATCTTTGGCGACAGTGGCCTCAACGCGACGACAGGTGGCCAAAGCATCTCTCCACGGTTTTCCAAATTTCTGTGGAAGGGCAGACTCTCCAGGCCATTTAAAGAATGCATCCCAACAGGCAGTCACAACATTCATCCCAACAATAAGGGGGTGTGTACAATCCTCATCCCTTACAATCACTACTACACGTCCAGGAATCTGCATCCCTTCGACTATTAAGTCAAGTACGGCATAGCCAACATACGGGATCTCCAGACCATTAGCTGCTCTCAGATTAAACAATGCAGGTGTCCCTCCAAGCTTAGCCTGGGTAAAATGTTCATTGAACATACTCTCCGACATTAACGTCACTTGGCACCCTGTATCTAGCAGACCTTTCAATTCAACTCCTTCAGCAGTGATTTGTATTGTTGGACATTGGCCTCTGAATCTTTCCGTGATCCTTGTCTGTGCTGTTGGACTAGCCATCCCTGCCACATGGACCCCAGCGGCAGGGACAGCTAGTTTAAAGCCGGCCCTGAGGTTGGTGCCACCTGACAGTATCTGGCTATATGTCCGGCTCTATGGCACAGCCTGCAGATAGGCCTACCTCTTTCATCACGTTGGTAGGATGGAGCCGGATGGCGGTAGCTCCGGCGTGTTACTTGAGGTCCTGCAGTGGCAGCAACAGGTGAGAGGTGTGGTTTGAGCTCCCTTATCAGTTCCTGGGCCAGTCCCTTCATCTCAGTCTTTACTTCCTCCATTATGTCCCGCTTGAGTGTCCCCTTCCGGTCAGAGTGTTGTTCCTTGGAAAAGCTAGATTTGTTATTGACGATTGAGCATGTTACCTATGGTGCAGAGCTACTATATACAGACTCCAACAACAGTGCCTCCTCTCTCAGCTCCACAAAATCTGCCTCGGGGTGTCGACGAGCGTACAGCTTTAACTCCTGCGCCATTGGTCCTTCCCGCAGTCCAAGCAGCAGCTGGTCTCTCAGAACTGCCTCTGAAGGGGGGTCGTTGTGCCGCCTTAGTCTGCAATAAAGTTCACGGAGGTTTAAAATAAAAGACTGGACATTTTCACCCGGCTTCTGAGCGCAGTTAAAAAATGTTGACCTAAAAACGGAGGTGGGGGTTTGATCACCATAGAGAGAGCCAAGATACGCAAATATCTCACGAACAGTGTCCTTTTCATTGTCCTCAAGCACACCAATTTGGCGTTTAGCTTCACCGGCTAATGCTCCCAGAACAATCGAGACCTTTCTCGGCTCAGTTAGCTCTTGTGCACCCAACAACCCTTCAATCTGCTCTTTCCAGTCTCCCAGTTTTATCTCATCCCCTGGCCCTTTAAACTTTGGGAGCCAGCGGGCACCAGGGTACACAGGCATCATCATGGCTACTTTCTCCTTGGCAAACAAGTGTGCTCAAGACCCAGATCTTGCCTAGCAACACCAAGAATGTAATGGGGGGGGCTATTGATATGGTTGAAAGTAGTGAATGAAACAGAGGGGGAGCTATTGTAGATAGGTGAGATGACCGGGTGAGAGCACACACTGTTTACCAAGGGAAGACAGGAGAATTGCAAATTAAAAAATTTATTACAAAAATAAAACGATAAAATTGTGCATGTCCAGAATACTGAAAGTCCATAAAAACAAGGTGGGCTAGAATACTTAAAAAACCACAGTCCAAGGAAGTGCACGTGCTGCAGCTCTCCAAGGGAGCGGTCCCTTGCCACACGCACACCGGGTCACCTGGGGACACAAGACAAACGCCAGCACAGGGGTCCGAGACTACAGGGCCTGAGGCTACAATGGTGGAGTGTCGCTACAATACTTACACACAAGGCAGAGTTTCCTCTGCCCCTGCATGTAGTCCGCGTCACAACACTCCTTCACTCAGTCACGATCCCTCCCGGCTGGCTCTCCCCCTCTGCACGCTGGAACACATACGCGGAGACAACTAGCGGCAATCAAATGCTCACAACAACACTATGTTTCTTGAGCTAGCTCTTCCGACAAGTACTACTACGTGCCCCACGGGTACTCACACAGAAGGCAGAGTCCTCCTCTGCCCCTGCGTGTAGATCGCTTCATAGCACTTGCGGGTTCCAGCGTGCGTGTCGTCCCGGTGGCTGTGGCGTGTTCCCCTTGTGAGAATGGACCACTGCTCTACTACTCTCCTCAGCTCACTCCGTCCGTCACCTCTCCGACCCGTTCCCTTTTCGTTGCGTTGCTCCTCTGTCTTATTCCTCCTCTCGCGCCAGGCACAGGTGCGTCCAATTGCGCAGTGATGGGACTCAGTCGTGTGGATGGGTCATGTGACATCAGTGGGTGGCGGCAAGTAATATAATAAAATAAATAAATACACTGCAAAGATAAAACCAATATAAAACTACTACAAACAGGACACAATAGAAAAAAATATATAAAATGCCACTCGTGCTGGATCTCAGCAGCACCACCTCTGCTGCTGCAACCCGTCCTGCTCCACCCAGAGGCTACTCAATATGGGCTGCTGCGACCTGTCCTGCTCCACCCAGAGGCTACTCCATCTGTGCTGCTGTGACCCGTCTTGCTCCACCCAGAGGCTACTCCACCTATGCTGCTGTGACCTAGAGGGTTGTTGCTGATTATTACTATTATTATGTTTTCAGAATGATCAATTTAATTTTTATTTTTGCTGCTACTGGACTCCTGAATTTCTCCTACGGGGATCAATAAAGTATCTATCTATCTATCTGTTTGCCCACTGAGATTTTTAAAAGTACTCGTCGCATCCATGCTTCAGTATGGGCCGTTCTGTCTTCTTGCCACACAGCGAGGGGCGCATGTGCACGCGAGTGTAAACAAAGATCTTCTTAAGTATCTATTTATCTATCTATATAAGCCCAGGCTCTAAGACAATAAACGTCAATGTCCACTAGGGGGCCACAAAAAGGCCATTTATTTCAAACAAAAAGTTAGTTTTCAGTGTGTCTTGATACAGACTGAAAATTAACTGAGAATCACTGCATTTTCCTCAACTTTTTTTGTATTCATTACGAAAATGCTATCCATGTCCATGCAGTGCATTAGCATATACGTCCTTTTGAAGAAAAAGTAGCGCAGATTTGTGCCGATGTGACATTATATTTTAGATCGAGTTTTGATGAAACAAGGAAGAGAATGTGTTTCGGGTCGCAGATTGTGACCTATCTTAGCGAACCACTAGCCCCCACTTTCGTGAGAAATCTACAGGTCCGTTAGAATAGACAGCTGAGTTAGCACAACAAGCGGCGGAGCTAACCTGAAACTTTCTCGTCTTCGTCACCGGTTACTGCTTACACAGAGAGACAGCCATCCAAAAGGAACTGTACTGTGCCGAACTGCTTTAAAGAGTCGACCATCATTCCAGTTCCTAAGAAAACTCCTGTGACATGCCTGAATGACTATCGTCCTCACGTCTGTTCTTATGAAAACTTTTGAGCGGCTTGTGCTGGACTTCATTAAGAACCAGATGCCTGTGAGTGTTGACCCGCTCCAGTTTGCTTACAGACAGAACATTAGTGTGGAGGATGCCATCTCCTTTGCTCTGAACTCTGTCTACAGTCACTTGGACACTAGTAAATCTGTTGCGAGAATGCAGAGGTGTGGACTCGAGTCATGTGACTTGGACTCGAGTCAGACTCGAGTCATGATTTTGATGACTTTAGACTCGACTTGACCAAATATAAAAAGACTTGCAACTCGACTTGGACTTTAACATCAATGACTCTGACTTTCACTTGGACTTGCGCCAATTGACTTGTAAAGACTTGCGTAACCCGGGCCATTTTTACCTTTCTCCGCATCTCTCTTTCTATCTATGCCGTCTCTGAAGAAACAAAGCCTCGCGGTAGTTGTAGCGCTCGCGCGAGAGTTCGAACGTGAGTTCCCCGCAGTTCGCGCAGCAACACTTCCCTAAACAAGCGGACTGCATTCACCGGTGGGTGTGTTGTCTAGGGGAGCTGGAAATGAGCGAGCTGCAGGTATTTATCGCGACCTAACGTCATATTTTGTTCTACAAACCGTAATTGATATGCTTTCACTACAGGCGCCTCATACAATTGAATCGACGCAGTTGTCACACTGTGTGCCGTGTTTTAAAGAGGAACTGGTGAGTCAAACTAGCGCTAGCCTGCGCTGCTCTGTTGGCTCTTTCTTATATTTTTCTGTGTGGGCGCCGAGGCCTATTATTATGAGTATGTTTTTGCTGTGCTCCTCCTGCTAAAGTTTGCATACATTAGATAGTTGTTTTGATTATGTGCACTAAGCTAGATTAATATTTGCACTATTGTTTATGGTGCATTGATATGAGAATCAGTGCTTTGACTGATTGAATTAATTTATATGAGACATTTTATTATGTAATGATATATTGGTAATTATGAGATATTGCTAATGCTGGTCCAGTTGATGGCGAGCTGCCCCAGGTCCAAAGCCTAGATCCCTCATACTACCCCTATTCTACAGTAGGACATTTGGAACAATAACCACTACGGACATTAAACTGATTATATAGATACAGGTCCTAGCCCAATACTCATATTCATATATGCTGCACTTGCTACTTCCCATTAAAAACCCCAAAGATAAAAAGTATGTTGACACGGACTGCTCTGATTTTATGTGTGGTCTGTGCATGTGTAACTGAGCCTGCATCTGGCACAACATCCAATTAGATCACGTAGATAGTTTTGATTTATCAGCAGCCAACGACATGGAACAAACTGTTAGTCCATGGGTCAGAGACCAACAAGAATGCACCAGCAAAATGATTCCTAACATTATTTTGTTTGCCTACAAAAGTACGTGGAGACCAACAAGAAACAAATCGCGGTCAAAAAGACTCGAGAGGACTCGAAAGTCAAACCGTAGGACTTGGGACTGACTTGAGATTTGTTGGCCTTTGACTTGGACTCGACTCGGGACTTGCCTGTCTTGACTCGTGACTTGACTCGGGACTTGAGGGCAATGAATTGAGACTGACTTGTGACTTGCTAAACAATGACTTCGTCCCACCTCTGCGAGAATGCTTTTCATCGATTATAGCTCTGCTTTTAACTGCCTTGTCCCAGGTAAACTGATTGAAAAGCTCATGTCTCTCGGTTTAAGTGTTGCCATGTGTAAATGGATTTTTAGCTTTTTAACTGACAGATATCAGAGAGTGAAAATCAATGACTGTTTTTCTGATGTTGTTTCTGTGAGCACTTGTTCTCCTCAGGGATGTATTTTGAGTCCTTTGCTTTTTACTTTGTACACTCACGATTGTGTGTCCTCCTCTGACTCAAACTTGATCATCAAATATGCTGATGACACCACCATCATCGGTCTCATCAGTAACAATGATGAATCCTCTTATAGAGCAGAGATACAAAATGTGGTTCAGTGGAGTAAAACTAACAAACTCCAGTTGAACGCATCGAAAACATGTGAACTGGTCTACGACTTCAGTCGCAATAGTTCTCATGACAACTCCCAGGTGCAGATCGTAGAGGAGTGCAAGTTTCTGGGTTTAACTCTGTCTAACATGAAATGGGTTAAAAACACTGACCGAGTCGTTAAGAAAGCTCGTCAGCGTTTCTACTTTCTGCGTAAACTTAGAGAATTTACCACTAACCCTAAGATTCTGCTTAACTTTTATCGCTGCACCATTGAGAGTTTACTTTTTGGTTCTGTGTCTGTGTGGTTTGGAAACATGACAGATAAAGAAAAGAGATCTTTAAACAAGGTGCTCCGCTCTGCAAAGAGGACTGTGGGCTGTGAGCTTCCTGTTCTGGAGGTTCTTTATAAATCCAGACTTTTAAACAAAGCTCTTAGGATTGTCAATGACTCTTCTGGCCACCCTGGGAAAGCCATGTTCCAGCTTCTTCCCTCTGGCAGAAGATATCGCTCTCTGAGATGCAGGACATCTTGTTACGCTAACAGTTTTTATCCAC